GGATTTTTCATAGTTCTTCAGAACAACGTGACTCTTGTGGTGGTTTGTTTGACTTCCACTAGAGGCATGGTTTAGCCCAATAGTACACGTTGCCATTTCTTTGAAGTGACAATGTTTTACTTTTTTTTTAAATGGACATGTTTATTAAATATAACAAGAGGAATGTAACTTGTTGCATTTTTATTCATTCATTCTAATCAATATTATTAATATATGAAAGATAATTAATGTGCATCTAATATTTATATTAATATTTAACAGAAAACCAATCACTGTAGAATAATTCACTATGGATGTTACATAATTTCTTTAATGAGTCTTTTTTTCTTTCTTAAGCATGTTTTATGTCATATTGTCGCAAATGACTAGCACGGCAACCACACTACACAAGCAAAACTATGTTTATTTAAAGGTTGAAATTAATAGAATAACTATGCTTTGATATTAGGGATAACATGTACATAAAAATCCCCCGGAAAAACCTAATTGTGACTGAGAAAAAAACTGGACTGATTTTAATAACATTAATAGTATTTCGTAAAAACATGCATATTTCCCTTATTAGAATCTATTTCTAGGCATACTGTTTGCCTTTGATTAATCTAATGCAGAAATCTGTAGATTATGTAAAAAAAATGTGTCAATTCAACAAAATGAAAGGAGTTTATTATGCCGGCTGCCAAATCTCTGGGGCATCATAATTCCAAATATCCAAGAATTGTCTTGCATTAGCGGTAGAGAATTTTATTGGCCTACCTTTGTTTTTTTTTGTTTTTTTAATGGTTCTTTTATTTTGCAGACTAATGTTCCATAAAAATAGCGTGATGTTGATGCTTCTGTTAAACTGCAACCCTGCATTGTAGACGGTGCTCTGTTAATGCGCAGATTGGAAAAACCAATTGAACAGCGCTAGATACATTTGTTTAAAAGCTAATTAAGCATTTCATCACATTGCTCTGTGAATGAACATCTAAATCACAATTATTAATATAAAATTAAAGCTTTTCATTCTTTCTACTTCTATATTTATTAGTTTTAAAATATTCAAAAGATGAAGCCACAGTATTTTTGATAGTGACATATTTTATATATTAAGTTATTTTCTAAGCAATTTTACTGTTATATAATGGGACACAGGCCCCTTTTAATTTAGTAAAAAGGTAATGCAATAAAATACACTCAAATATAGTAAAGATTGAAAAGATTGAAAATATACTGTCGTGGAATGTTCCCTCCCCCACCCCAGCTGGCCCCTCTTCTGTCATGTCAACCCCTTCTGTACCATTCATGCAGCAGAGTAAGATTGTACAGCCCATAAAGAATCTTGAGGGCTAGTCTCCCACCGACAACCACCCAGACCCTTTACACTTTGATTTGGACCCTTCCACCCCTTTGTTATGGAGTGATGGATTTTTGAAGTGCATTCATCTTTAAACAAATTAATTTGATTGGCAACAAATCGATTTGTCCAAACCTTCCTCTCCTTTCAATTCGTTTTAAGGCAAATCGTTTAATTTAGGAAAAATGTTTGCCCAGTGGCAAAAAACTGGAAAATTGTAATTCTGGATCAGAAATGAAGAAGATTCATCCATTAAAGCAAATCAAAAGGGTTTTTGGACGAATATATTTGTTGTCAAAGGCAAATGCAATGAATGCACATGTCTAGTGGATTGTAACCTTCAGGCTATCTGTTTGCATTGTAAGGGTCCACCCAGCCTGCTTCTGAACCCCAGGATTGTAATTGTTTGCTGGTGGATGTTGACCTTGTGCAATACAACTAGTTTTAGAACTATCATTTGTGTGTTTGATTAGCTTGTGTTTTTTTTTTTTTACGTCTGGTTTTGGGTACCTGAAGAAAAGCAGCTCTATTGTTGGGTAGTTCCACTCCTCATAATTCAAGTAATTCTTGTCAACTTGTACTTATGAATGGTTATAGCTCCGAGTGCCGTTGGATTAGTCCCAGGTTGAACCCCAACCTGGGACTTACCCCGTGTATTCCCATTACAGAAACTATTGAACTTACTGTGTTCTCTGCAACTACCAAGGTTTCGCAATGAGTTGTCCTCCCATAATTTTCATTGGGAGATCCAAGTATATCCCAGATGGTGTTCACAATATATATGGGTCAGCACATAACAATAGGTCAGTTCATAAAAAAACTATGAAACCAATCTAATGAAAGCTATGCCATGTACATTTTGTTCCTCCAAATTGCTCCATTTTTGCTCAATGTTTGTTTTTTTCATGAATAGTTACACACTGTGACCGAGTTTGCTGTACAGCATAGAATGCAAGATGAGGATGGGGACCTTCTTCCTCCAAACCTATTTGTTTCCTTATAATGCTAAGGTGTACATTTACCAAATCATAGAATTGCAATATGAATTACATTCTTTAATAATTTAATAGACCAACAATTAGGCTTGTTCCTGGAACTCCTCACTATTTCCTCATTGCTCTTCCCATATAGATTGTTCATGCTATTAGGAAGGAATCAAGACATGGTAAAGGACAGAGAGATCTAATGGAATCATGAGAATTTAGAGAACTAAGTTAGTGACATACATAGGGAGCGAGAGCTAGAGACTTATTAAGGGCAGACGAGTTAGGACAGTTAGTATTCAAATAAATGGCTAAAGGTAATGGAAGGGGAAATTATTTCATTTATTTACATTTTATGCAAGGGGTATCAGGAAACCCCTTGGCATTTTATTATGGAAGGTGTTATGTGCACTATTAGTGAAAAAAAGGGAATCCTGGCACCTCAAGTTAGGCCATTGGCACCCGACTGTAACAACATTTTGTTAACTAAAACCTATTCAGTAGACAAACAGGTAGGACCTTTTTACTTGTTATTTCACTTCTAATTAAAATATCACGCTGCATCTCATGATATATTTCAATCATCTAGGCCATGTTGGGGGGATATGTTTTCCACATTTTCAAGAAGAGCCACAGTAACACCCCATCTTTGAATGACTTGATTGGTTCTCTTTTGCATTTAGACTTGCTATGGATGCATTGTGCTTGGTCGACTTTCTAAAAGATCAGACAGTCTATGGTCAATTCTCGAGGATTTCCAGAGTAGTGGAAACCCCTTATAGGGCTATAGGACTTTTTCATGCCTCTTTCAAGCCATCCCCGTGAATGGCTGCTTGGCAGGAGGTACAACCTACCGGACTGGAAAAAGAAAGAAGCAGAGGAGGTACTGGTGTGGGGCATGGCTAGTAACTGGTAACTTTCTTAAATCTCCTTTCATATCTTTAACGTTGCTTAGTTATATGTGACCCTACACTTACTCTTGGTGTTAATATACTGCTGTATTTTTAATTTTATTTCCTGACCCTTTGGCACTTATGAACCTTAGGTGCCTGGATCTAGACCTCTTGGGCTGTCTGGCTTTGCCTCCTGGATTGCCTCTGACTTTAACTGTTTGCCCCATTGCCCCTCAGGCAAAGCATGCACATTGTGCTTCAACTTGTTTGCAAACCCAGCACCCTATCACTTAACTGCAAACCTAGCACCCTATCACTTTTAGTTCAGATTTATACATAGTAAGGAGGGGCAAATAAATAAGGTTTCTATCTGGTCCCTGAATTAGAGGGCGTTACTAAAGCAGTATTTTTTTACGTTTCCCATTATCTATGAGAATAAATTAGTTTAGGCATTTAAGTCGGCGTGATTGAATAGTAATACTGACAGTAATCTCATCATCTCCCATCTATTCATCACTTCCTTTTGGAGTTAATTATTCAGTAATACCAGTTACTTAGCAAATTGTAAATATACAGCAGCATTCAATGTAACACATACGTGTGTTGTGAAATTGATATAATTAAGATGTATATGAACATATAACACCAGTTCGTGTAATATGCTATTTTTAAATGACTGCAAGAGTTGTGATTCCAGTGTAACCTTATTAACAGGAGATTTTCAGATCTAGAATGTTGCACGAAACGTAAACTTACAATCTAATGAATGCTCGGTATAAAAGTATTGGCATTACTCTGTACTGTATTTTATGGTTTCTTATAAAAAGATTGATTGAATTAATTCAAATCACTGTATTCCATCGTGCCTGATCTCCATTCTGACATAGCTAAATAATGAAGTATAGTTAATTATGTCCTAACTTTGCTAACCAGGATAGATATTAACGATAAAGCTGCTTTAAGATAAGGGATCTAATTCTTTTTATTTCTGCAGTTTGACTCTCATGTTTTTTATTGTCACATTTTAGGATGGATCCCATGAAAAACTATTAGTAGATTTCCAAAAGAATTCTTGGCATTTTTCATATCTTTTATTTCCTACATTTCGTTTAGTAAAAGGCTTGGACATGGTTATAAAAGCCCAAATGACCCATGCCGAACCTCCCAATATCCACCATTAAAAATACTTCTGCCATAGGTATATAACAGATGACCATATTGCTCATGTGGTGCAGAACTGGCTCTTAGTCATGGTTAAAGGGACACTATAGTCACCAGAACCACTACATCTTAATGAGAGAGAAAATGCAGTGCTTACATTAGTGCCTAGTAACGTCTCTAGAGGCAGTCACTCAGACCTCCACTACAGATGCTTCCTAGTCTATTACTATACAATAGCTTATAAGTATATCCCAAACAATATACAATCGATAAATAATATAGAAAGCAATAGTACTTAGCTTATAAAGATGTATGACAGCCTCCCTAGGTCGTTACCCAAACAAGCGACCTATATCATATATAGTATAAACCAAAACAAAGAAGATTCGGGATATGGCTGTGTAAATCTACAGAGAAAGCATAAAACAAAACATAGTGTGATATTGTTATAAAACACAATATTTCATGCGCAGTAATCTTATGCACTCACAGGATGTAGGCAGTAAAAGCGCTCTTAAGGTGCCTTCCCCAATGGAATGGGGGGCTAGCTGGTATTCCTTATCACCTCTGGATCCTTGTATCACCAAAAGACATCCACAGGTCAGGGTTCAGTAATAAAAAATTTATTTAAATAAAAAGTGTAGTCACCACTTCAGCATAGGATACAAACATAAGGATGTTATTTGTATCCTATGCTGAATTGGTGACTACACTTTTTATTTAAATAAATTTTTTATTACTGAACCCTGACCTGTGGATGTCTTTTGGTGATACAAGGATCCAGAGGTGATAAGGAATACCAGCTAGCCCCCCATTCCATTGGGGAAGGCACCTTAAGAGCGCTTTTACTGCCTACATCCTGTGAGTGCATAAGATTACTGCGCATGAAATATTGTGTTTTATAACAATATCACACTATGTTTTGTTTTATGCTTTCTCTGTAGATTTACACAGCCATATCCCGAATCTTCTATTACTATACAGTTTGTCTCACCGGTCTTACGTGGCGAGACTGGTGAGGCCGTGGACCAAAATAGTTAGTTAATGCTATAGTGTCAGGAAACATTTTTTTGTATTTCTGCACCATAGTATTCCTTTATGCCAAAAATGTTAAGATAAACATTTGGTGCAAAATACCAATAATATTTTTCTCAATATTCTTCTACAATATCTTTGGTAACCCAAATTAACTTATGCCCTAAATAAGTCCTATAACTACAAAATATTATATATTTTTTTCCAGTGAACTTATCAATATTTACCAGCCTAAAGGAAAATCACTGGTGTTACCTCGATACCTTCTCTTCCTATAGGTCAACCTTGTCCTGTGTCAGTTACATTAGGGTTTAGATTTCTACTGTAAAGCACTGTAAAAAAACAATGTTGGCCTCATCGTGTTTGCTCTTAGCAATGTTAAGACCATGGATCCACTACTGATTGGATCAAATATTTTACAAGTCTCTAATCTAACAAAATATTTGCACGATTAAAAATGCAACCTACCGTGAGTCATAACAAAGTAAATCAAGCATACCTAGCTATACTTACAAACTGATAAATAAAATGAAGTTTAATTATTCCCAAAGTCACAATATGTTTGTTTTTATATGTTTCTATTTATATGTAATTTAAACGTATTTCATCGTGGTCTGACTGTTGACGTGGCACAGTGGTTACATCAAACATATAAAAAAATTGCTAAAACAAGAAATGGATAAATGATTCATGTACGTAATCCAACAGGAGATGGCTAAAGGATATAGGTATATTGTAAGCAGCTTGTGTGAACTTAAATTGGATCTGTGTCAAATCTGAATTGGAGCTTATTGATCCTAGTATTTTGCTACTGGATGGGAAAAATACTATGACTCTCATTGTGCACATATAAAATTTCTGTCACAGAATATGTCTTTTTGTCATTAAAAGTAAGACATAAAATATTACGAAATTTTAGAGTTGCTCATTTTTGAATTTTTTTTCAAATTCTTTATTTTTGCGAGAGATCGCTAAAATATAACAAGTCACATGAAACATACAATAACAAGCATGGTATATTAACGATAATTTTGAGGTCTCATAGCTCATTTTTAAATTTTTGTGGTGTGGATACCCTCTCTGGGCAGTGCACGTTAAGGCTGTCTGTATCAAATAAGGGTTCTGGTTTGGAGCTTATAGCGCCTCATTTCTCTTGTCTCCGCTTAGCTATGTGCCATGGGCTTCTCTAAGGTGCCTTGTGGGGTGGGTGGTTGGCAGTAGCTTTCCTAAGCAGTAATATTCTGCTTGAGTATCAATTGCATGTTCAGAAGGCCTAGAACGTGGACCGAGCGTGCACTGGTGCGCTTAAAAAACAGGGAGACAAAGTTTAGACCTCTGCACGTTCTATGAAAGTGGTTGGGGTATAACTGAACACAGGGCTATTCCAGCAGTTTATGGAGCCAGTTTAAATAGATTAAGGGGTACGGGGGAATATTTTTCTCTTTTTTAAAATTTGTTTTTAATGAAAATTACATTTTAAGTGTTTGTGTATGGACAGTCCTGTTTGACTTGCTTGCAGGGATGCCCGTCATCCTGGCGCAAGTGACCTACGTTCTACCGCTGGCATGCCGTTTCCTTGGCCTTCTGTCTTTTATACGCTTTCACTTTTGTTTTGATGACTAGTCTTGTATATTCATTTTCAGATTAATGCAAATTCAGGCAAATTTTGGGTGCTTGGTTCATTCTTCTTATCATTGGAATAATGAAAAAAATATTAAAGTAAATTAATTCATGGAAAAAAAAATTCATCCATGCAATTAATTTATTATTATTTTCTCATTTCAATTACAAGAAGGAGGTGGCTGTTAAATGGAAGCAGTGGGCAGCAGCATTGCTATCTACCACTTTCTACCACCATTCACCTGTATTGTTGGATGGGGTGTAAATGATCCACCATGTGGAGGGGCAGCAGTTAACCCTCACCAGGCTCCTCATCTGAATCGTTTTTTTTTTTAAATTTCAGACAAACCAAATCACACAAACAAAATGTTGTCTCCGTGTACCAGTCTAGCGATTACAGTATCGTAGATTGCCTGGTTCCCCTACAGACACAATGTACTCATATCGGTCCTCATTTGTTGCACATATGCCGAGCATCAGTTGGGAACAATGGTTTTGTAAAGCAGTGTGGCTATGCACAGTTGGAGGCGTGAAACGTTTTGTGACATTCATGTCACTCCACAAATCAAAGCAAGCTTTGATGCAGAAAACACAAGATCACCAGCTTGGGGCGTGGGCCTCTGAGTTTACACTATTTAAAAAAAAAAAAACTAGTACCTTCAGGACATAGCTCAGGCATCTTTTATACTTCTGCAAGAAAATTGTCATTGCTCTGGTTCAAGATTGTGTTTGACTGATTCTGCATATTTGCTACCAAGGCTGACCTTGGATTTTTGTGACAATATAACTGAGCGATGTCCTAGAAATTGTATGCAATCTCATACATCCTGAACTCTTCCACACCGATGCTATGCTTAGTGTAATAATTTGTGTGAACAAGGCAGGACTGGAAATAATTAAAACAGGCTAGGATATAATGAGATACTATGTGGCATAATGAGAGTCTGTGATCTAGATGGGCTGCTGACCTTCAGTCTCCTCCTCTACTGCGGTCTATTAAAATATTAGAAAAAAAGATTGATCAGAATAATGGCACCGTGTGGACACAAAGAGCAAGATAGCATTTTGGGACAGGTAGAGACGAACCACATTCCTATCTTGAAGTTGCTATAAAACCGAAAGTACAAGCAAATTAATTTAGTTCAAAAGCATTATTGGCCATTGGCGGTACCCTTATAAGATAAGCAGGGATACTCGGGATCTCTTAATAACTGAGGATGGCCTGATAAAATGGTCTTTCATTGTAATTTTTGTATATTTATTGTAACATGTGAAAGGAAGGGTTTAACTACTGATAGCTGAGTCTATAGGTGCCACTAATAAAGAAGAAACAGTAAAAAAAAATCTATAATTATATATTTTATATTCAATAAATATATATTATATAAATATACAATTATTATTATTATTATTATTATTATTATTATTATTATTTTATTTTATTTTTTTACGGTTCCTTCTTTTTTCACTCTAGTATTCTGTGAACCAAATGATGGGAAAATGCACCTATCGAAAAATATATACATAATATTTATATTATGTGTATATTTTGCAGTACGTTTATTGGCCCATATTCACAACCTTTCGCTTCATCTGAATCGTTTATCCTGAAACGATTGCATGGACTGCACTGAAATGCCACATGGACGTATCCCAAATTTAGACAAATAGATTAGACCGTACTGATTTTTTTATTCCGCTCGCAAGTCTACTGTATATCATCTGTTGGTCTGTCTGTTTATCTAATCTGTCTGTCAATTTCTCCATGTATGCACGCATGCACGTACGCACACACATACACACGCACATGAACTAGCATGATTAGATTAATCTTGTCACAAGATACTCAAGTGACAATACTATTCAAAGCATCTTATCAAAGCCAAAACAACTACTACCATTGCATGATGCCATTACGGCCTGTAGGGGGCTCCCACAGTCCATTGAAACAGTATTTCCATGCAGAGTTGTATTTCTTAACCCAGATATACTGGGCGCAGCTGGAGGTTGGGTAAGGTCACCGAGTTCTTTAAAAAATAAACAATGCAACGTTTTCTACAATCCATAGCAATAACTGCAGTTACTACGATGCATTTATTACATGTCTATCAATGGGTTGAACATTTTATTAATTCTTAAATATTAGCAAGTACAATGATTACATTTATTATTATTATTATTAATATTATTATTATTATTATTATTATTATTATTATTATCATGTGATATTTTATTACATAATATTTAGACCATTTTAGAACTTTGGTTATTTAACATTATTTTAGTTCTATTTTATTTTTTCAGGATAATTTAAAAAAAATAAAATACATAGATTCCAATTTTTAATCTCTAGGTTTGTGGTTTGGATAAAAACATATTTGACACAGACAATGTTAGATTTAAAAAAGCAACAACAGTTATTCTAAATAATATATGATAAACACGCTAATTTCCATAGTTGGGGAATTGTGCACTTCCTGTTCTTTCAAATGCATACATTCTATACATATTTTATAGCAACCAGCCCATTTGACATATTTGAATGGATGGTTGCCATGGTTTCCTTTATTCAAATTATAAGCTGGATCAGACAGAAGTCGGGGGAAGGGAAATTCTGTTTATGCGTGAAAACAACGTATATGTGTTGGTCAATCACAGCTGTGCTTTTTATTAGAAGCCGAGCATCGCACAGAGTGAGACTAGTCTGTGACAGCATATAACATTTGTTACATTGTATTATTCATCTAACAGCACAAGGCAATATCGAAAATGTAACATAACAGAATTAAAGGGACTCCTCGGGGCAGCCATCTTCCCTAATTCATTAAGATGAAATTTTAACTATTTGTAACCAACATACACAGAAAATCATCATATTTATGTGTAAGCATGGTACTAAATTGTATAGTACAAGTGACTTACTCATGTAATTATTTGTAAAGTGTTGTTTGTTGTTGCTTTTTTCTATAAAAAAAGCAAAAATACATATGAGCAATTAGTGAGGGGTTTGAAGATCTAGGGAGGGATGGCAACTGGCATGCTTTACTTCTTGTGAGGGCTTGTACAAAACACCTGAAATCCACCATTTCCAATAATTATCAGAACATTAAAAGCAATTCTGCTAAGCCTTGGAATTTTATTGGGAGACAAAAAGCACTGGGGTTCTTTCAAACAAAGATTATATTGAAATAATATGATGATTTTATTTGGGAACCTCTATATACATCTGTATGTACGAAAGTAGAAGTTGCTCAAGTGTAGAGCTTGCCCTGTGATACCCACTTACTCAAGAGATCTGATACGTTTTAACTCACTCGAACTGTTACATATCAATATATGAGGCAAGTATAACCCTTGGGAGTGGTCCAGAATCAAAATGTCATTCATTAGTCTTTCTGTAACACAATCTTCGAGAATTGGTTCTCTCTAAAATAAATCTCATCTGTGTGGTATGTTTTTATTTACAAAGTATGAACCCCAAGTTAAATGATGAGCGATCATGTGCAGATACAGAGATTAATCCCTTGTTTGCTGGAGCTGTAACTTCACCTCCAGCAATGTCATAGAGGTATCATCAGCCAGCTTACACTCTCAGCCAATGAATGACGACCACTACAGCTTATGTCTTCTGCAGCTCTGCAGAAACCAGAAGAGTATCATTGGATCACCAGGGGCATCGGAGACCAGTGGGGACACTTGTAATAGGGCAAACCATTGCTAATTTTTTTGCCCCTTTACCAGAAAACCCAACCAGGGTATTACTGGCATCATAAATGCTACAGAGGACTGTAGTGGTTATGATGTTTGGAGTAACCATTTCAGCTGGCTATCCTTAGAACCACTGAATGGTACTTTCCTTACCCTCTACACTACCTTAATTTATAATTTTTTTATTCTTTATTTATGCTCTCCTCACACGTGTGAGAGGGCATTCATATAAGGTACATTATACACATAGTAAAAGATATGGACAGTTGTAAAAACAAGCATCTATACAGTATATCTCAGGTAGTGTAACACATGAACCGAGGGTTTTAGTTATTTATAGTTAGAGACTGTTTCTATAGGGGCCTACCTCTGTCTGGCCTAGAGGAAGCCATAGATGAAGTACTATACATGCTTGTGTCATGCTCAGTAAGCTAGCAGTGCCATCGATAAGTTTACAACCAGTAAATACAAAATAACGGTAATATTAGGCATGAGGAGACATACTAATGTTAACAACACTGGATTTGTAGGGTGGAATCACTGTGGCAGAATTACCCACTGTATGGCTAGGTATGTATTACAGCTGGTCTTAATCGAGTGGAGAGGTGCGGGAGGGGTGTGGGGATTAAGGGAGTCTAGCTAGCCGTAGGGGCATACATGGGTGTGAAATGCCTTTTGGCATTATGGTACAAAAAATAATGTGAAAGATTCCGAATATAAAACAAATCTATCTTCGAGCTGTAATAAGCACAATCCCTGGCATGTGACAGGTTGGTGTCGAAAAGCAATACCCAGAGCTTTGGTGGGAATTGACTCAACCTATAAAGTTATAATTAAATGTTTCCATCTAAAATAACATATAAAAGTGGGTTTACTTCGAACCGCTATTGGATATTGTCCACATGGAAGAAAATCAGTCAACAGTAGGCTGAGGGTTCCATGGTTTGGGGATGGCTAGTGCCCCCAGGTGTGTTTTAAGTCTTCAGAGAAAAAATAAAGGTAATGATCCAGCAATAAAAGGTTAACCAACTTTGAACTGCTAGTGGTAGAAGTCCTCATGGTTGTAGAGGACACTTTGTAGCTGAGATTCCCTCAGTTCAGGTGATGGCAATCGCATATGCATCTGGCTTTCCTCCTTGAGGCACAAATGGTGTGATTTTTGCTGGATCCCATCGGTGCTTGGTAGGATTGTTGCCTGGATGTTTGTTAGGCACTAGAGTGTCCCCTGGCAAGCCAATCGGTTGCAGTAGCGCAGAATTTCCCCTCAGGTCCGCAATGGAGTGTGCTGTATTGTTGTGCAGGTCTTGTAATGCCGTTGGTGAGTGCCATCGATATCCTATGTTGTTTTCCTTGAGTAGGGTCGTAAAGGATTGCAGCGATCTTCTCCACTGTAAGGTTTCCCCGGACAGGTCAGCATAAAAAGAGAGGGTCATTTTTTCAAATTTGTATGTAGCGTGTTTCCTTTGAGAGCAGTTAGGACCGCTTCTTTATCAGCGTAGGTATGTAACCTCACCACAAGGTCTCTGGGAGCCAGAGCTGGAGCCCTCCGGGGCTTAGGGACTCTGAAGGCAGCATTTATGTTTGTATTTATGGCCTGCTTAGGGGCCAAAAGGACTCCGATTTGTCCTCCAGGATGCCTTTGATTTTCACGTTATTGCAGCGCGTTTGTTCCTTAAGCGTTGCAAATCGTTGTTCTGTTTGGGCTTGCTGCATCTTGAGCACCTGCACCTCCAGTTGGAGTTCTGCAATGGATTGGGCCTGCTTGTAAGAGGAAGGTTCCACCACCCAAATGCAATTGAACAGGCCCGTGAGGTCAGTGCAAAGCTGGGCCACATCAGCCTGGATTACTTTCTGCAGGGCTCCCAACATGTTTTTCAGTGTCGCTTCAATTACTGGGCTAGGATCCCCTGGATTAGTGGCAAACATGCCACTTGAGCCGTCGTCCAGTCTCAGGTCCTCAGAGGAATCTGTGTATTTCTTGTGGTTGTGATCTTGGGCACATGGGCGCCTCGAGCTTGGTGGAACAAATCACCTATATTTACTCCTGGCTTTTGTTTGTCTGGCTTTTGTTTTTTGTTTTTCGTCCCATGGTACTTGTTGATCCGTGGGGAGTGCTCATGGCTAAGTAACTCGCCGATAACCACTTATTTAGTCACTATAGAAGCAGAGCCCCTCTAGTGTGCGTCCGTCTAAGTCTGCTGCCAAGCCCTGTCCCCTAGCTTAATTTAATTTTGTGTGCAAGTATTAGAAAAGTCTTGACAGGTGCAAACCAAAAATGTAAACATTTAGAAAAAGCACACGAGGTGGCGTGGCCTGACCGTGGAACGAGCTGAACGCAGGAGAGTAGAGCTCTGTTCCCATCGTGCTCATAAACAGCTAACAACAGCATTTAAATAAAAAAATCCACACCTGAAATGGAGAAAAGGCACCCTAAAAAACTGCCCAAGAAGGGACCTGATACCGGAACCTCGGTCCTAGACATGCTTGCCGCCCAAAAGATCGGGCCAACGGACTCTCAAGATGACGCCGGACCAGGCCCTGCTTCTCAACCCCCCTCACCATGTGCAGCAATGAGTGGGGGACCCAAAGCGGGTTTGACAGCACAGATACTGTCCCGGCTGGTGGATGTCCAGACCTACCTCGCAGGGGTGATCGAAAAGTCAATGACTGTATTACAGGCGGAGATCTTAGCACTAGGAGTGAAGACTGCCAGGCTGGAGGAACGAGTTGAGTGCACAGTCAGGGCGCATAACACAGCAATAGCCCAGGTGAACGGGCTGTCAACCCGTATGGCGGAAGCCGAACTTGCCATAGAAGACATGGCCAACAGGTCACGGAGGAATAACCTCCGCCTGAGGGACCTACCGGAGGGGGAGACAGAGGGGTCTCTGCAGGCCTTACTACTTACCATCTTTCAGCCATTAATGCCGGACCTCCATGCGGATCGCTTGCACATTGAAAGGGTACACAGAGCCCTCCACGCCAGGAGACCAGACCTCAACGCTCCTAGGGATGTGATTGTCTGTTTTCTTCATTTCGCAACCAAAGAGGCCTTGATGAGGAGAAGCAGGGAGGGGAGGATAATCTACAAAGGTGCAGAGATTCAGCTGTATCAGGACCTGGTGCCAAGTACACTCCAGAGACGTCGAGAGTGGAGGCCCATCACGGAGGCTTTGTGAGGGGCAAGCATCCAATATGCATGGGGCTTCCCTTTTAAGCTGCCGGCGTTCCAGGGAGGCAGAGCTCATGTCTTGACACCTACCGGAGACCCGAAGAGCTTCCTCAGGGATCTTGGGGTGGCGGCCCCGGCGAATTTGCCCATGCTACTGGTAAACTCCCAAGACCTGGACCCCCTGCCGAAGGAGTGGCAAGAAGTAGGAGCTGGTGGACGCTGATGCCTGGATCGGTAACGTACGGTTGTAGCCGGGGTGAAGGGGACACTGGGGGATGATGGGCCATGTGGGGTACTCGGGGATGAGACTGTTTGGGCAGGGGGGACCAGCTCAGATTGTATGCTCCAGCCACCTTGAGTTATTAATGGGTGGGGTGCGTGGTTATTGGGTGGGGGGACTGGGGCATTGCGAATACCACAGTGGCGGAGCTAAGGGCTGGGCGGCAGGGGCTGTTATTTGCCTTTCACCAAGCCAGAGGGGGATCTCCGTGAAGGGTCCGATCACTCACCTCAGGAGGCCTTGCGACGATGGCTGATCTCAGCATACACACTGGAGTTTTTAAATTATTTATTTATTTATTTTGTTGTTTTTTTTTCCCACACACCGTCTCAGGAACAGGACTTATTGGGTAACATGCTACGAACATCTAATTGGGAAACCGGACAGAACTTCTGTATGGCCTATATTGTCATATTAAATTTGCCAACCCCCACAAAAACACAGAAAAAAAAGAGGAAAAAAAGGAAAAAAGGGAGGAGGGAGGACCAAAGAGAAAAAGAAAGATTTTTTTTAAAATGAATCAATAAAGGGAAACAATAACAGTTACGGCAGGTTGGGAGGGTTCCAGGCAGCAGGAAAGCATAGCAAGGAGGCTTTAGCGGAAGAGCCTAGACGGGGAAAGATGGTGTACAATTGAGGGACTTATGTAGTACGTGCTTAAGACGGGTCAAATTGCTGTATAACATGTGTGTTGGATGACTGGGCGACTGGACCCACAATATTTACCCCCTGTGGGCCTTACTGGAGCACGGTAGAGATCCATTGATTAGGCCACCCAATAATAGACATACCCCCAATGGGTGTTCATGACTGAGGAGAGAGGCTTGATCATAAGTCAATAGGGATACCACTTTTATTGCCCCCCTCCCCCACCACTGCAGTCACTCCAAGGTTTTTTCAGTTACCCGGAAGGACGTTACTGCTATAGAGTTAAGGGTCTGAGGGAATGGGACATGAGATGGACGGGTGTGAACAGTTTCACTTATTATACAAGTGAATGACTAACTCGTGTCAGATATTTATTGTTTAATTACGTATTATGTTATGATGTGAAGTAAATGTAGCGTATGTGAATGTAATACTCTTTTTACTTTGCATAATAGAGGTATAGTGTCTGTGAAGGTGTAGGATACTCTGCACATGATCTAAGCATATACACATAGCATGATAGCATGAAGGGTCTAGAGGCTCATGACCCTGCATCTCTTTTCCAGCGCTGGACGCGAGGTATGGGATCTTGACCCCTACATACGTTTGGCGAAGGGTAAAACCAGACAACTTAGGTGGTGCATGATTAGTGCACCGGCTATCCTTCTTTTCCTCTTTTCTACTTTCTCTCTTTTTCCTTATGTTTTATTTCCCTGGGGTTCTCAGGGGGGGGGAGGGGTAGAGGGGATTGGGCGGAGGTGGGTTGTACTATGGGAGAGCAGGGGTGGGCGTACTCAATAGTGTGAAAACAACAAAAGGCTCATGTCGGTGAAATTTGTTTCGCTGAATGTGAAGGGTCTTAATGCTCCGAATAAAAGATGCCTACTGCTCAGAGAACTGAAAAGGATGAAGGCCGACGTGGTCTTTATCCAAGAGACTCACTTACCAAAACAGAGCACATTTAAGCTTAAAGACCATGCGTATGCAGCGTCATTTGAAGCTTGCAATGGCGTAGCAATTCACATACGCAATAGCTGCCCAATTAGGGTGACGTCCACACACCCAGATTCAGATGGCCGCTTTGTCATAGTCTCAGGCACACTACTTTCACATACTATTCATTTCATTAATATATATGCACCGAATCAACCACACGTCGACTTTTGGGACGCAGTACAGGCCAAAATACAAACCCTACCGCATGGCATGATCATAATGGGAGGGGATTTCAACGCTACACTGTGCCCGGAGGTTGATCTGAGCTCCCCTAGGGGCGGCCAGAGATCACAGGGGAGGGGAGGACAGGACAAATTGCTCCGTAGGTTTTTAACCACAACGGGGTTGGTGGATGTCTGTCGAGCGCGTCATCCGAGACTATACTTATTATTCAGCTCCTCATGGCACGTATTCTAGAATAGACCTTTTTCTGGTCAACGACAAGAGTCTGGCACAGGTAGTGGGGTCAGAGATCGGATCTATGTCTTGGTCGGACCATGCAGAGGTGGCCCTGACGTTGGGGAACTTATGCGCGGCAGCCACGTGGACATGGAAAATTAATTCCTCCTTGTTAAAGGACAAGAGAATAGCTGAGCAGGTTCGAGCTAAAATATTAGAATTTTTCGCCACCAATGCCACAACAACACCAAAACAACCCAGACGAAGGGACGTTAAGATGGCTAGAAGAGGTGCGATACGCCATACGCACTCTATTTCTCGGTGACACAGCCAAATCCATAGCATGGTCCAAAAGGACCTTTTACGAACAGGAAAATAAAATGTATACACTACTAGCCAGAGTCCTGAAACCCAGTCAGTGGTGGGGGGGATATCACTGCCATATAACATAAAGATGGGTCTATCAAGACCACTCCCTGAGATATAGCAGAAATCTTCACAGACTTTTGCAAAATTCTGTACAACCACTACCCAGACTATGGGACACACAGGGAGCAGGACGAGGCCCAGACACATAGATTCATGACAGACCTGGAACTGCCCAAATTACCTCAGGAAGCAGCAAATACACTAGCAGCCGAAATCACCCCAGAGGAGGTGGCACAAGCAATCTCCACACTAAAGGCCCAAGGACCGGATGGGTATGATGGGAGCTACTACAAAGAGTTTAGAGACAAACTTTCCCCTCACCTAGCAGCCCTGTTCAATGAGTTCAAGTCGGGAGGCACACCGGACCATGATATGTCATTGGCGACAATAATTTTACTGTCGAAACTGGACAAGGACCCAGCCCTTCCAGAGAGCTATCGTCCCATCTCCCTAATAAATCATGATGTTAAAATATTAGCAAAAATACAAGCAGCATGGCTTAACCCATA